AAAAGCGCCGACTCCGTTTTTGCCCATGGACATCCAATGCAGGTCTGAGGTTAGATAGTGTTACTGCCTAGAGGGACAATGCAAGACGCTTGGGCGTGTCCTTTTGAACCTAGCGAAATGATTCGTTAGGATTTCCAGAAGGCAGTCGAAGAGGGTCACTCCTATTCACATGCTTTACGACGGTTCGTGTTTGGCAGCTTGAACGCACCCCGAAGAACCTTCCTGCGCCATGAAGGTGAATGTTCACTTGGCCAGTGGAGATGGTGTCTCCATAGAAGTCTCAAAGGAGACATCCGTCAGCGAACTGAAGGCTGCAGCGGAGCAGTATTTCCAGCGCCGCTTGAAGCTCACGGCGAAAGGCCGGCTCGATTTGATGACCACGCTGAGTGCGGGCTTGCGAGATGGGGACGTGGTGGCTGCGGTCTGCGGTTGTGCAACTTGGCAAAGTGGCTGCCACGCACGAGGCGTTTGCTTGGCAAGGCCACGGGGAAGCGATTGTGACGGGTAGTCCACAATCTGGCGGGGACAGCTGGGTGAAAGAGCAGCTGAGGAATGTCCTGCACATCCAATCAACTTCTCGTTCCTTTTCTGCCATTCTTGAATCTGGGTCTGTTGTCAGCTGGGGACATCCAATGTTTGGCGGCGACAGCAGCGAGGTGCAAGAACAGCTGAGGAACGTCCGGTACATTCAAGCAACATTTGGCGCTTTTGCTGCCATTCTTGAATCTGGGGCTGTTGTCAGCTGGGGTAATTCACTCTTTGGCGGAGACTGCAGCCGGGTGCAAGAGCAGCTGAGGAATGTCCAGCGCGTCCAAGCAACTCAGCATGCCTTTGCTGCCATTCTTGAATCTGGGGCTGTTGTCACCTGGGGTAATCCAAGATTTGGCGGAGACAGCACCCAGGTCCAAAAGCAGCTAAGGAACGTTCAGCACATCCAAGCAACTCCCGGTGGTGCGTTTGCTGCCATTCTTGAATCTGGGGCTGTTGTCACTTGGGGTCATCCTGAATACGGCGGAGACAGCAGCCAGGTGCAAGAGCAGCTCAGGAACGTCCGGCACGTCCAATCAGCTCGTGATGGGGCTGTTGCTGCCATTCTTGAATCTGGGGCTGTCGTGACCTGGGGTCGTGCAGACTGCGGTGGAGACAGCAGCCAAGTGCGAGAGCAGCTGAGAAACGTCCAGCGGATCCAATCAACTGGCAGTGCTTTTGCAGCCGTTCTTGAATCTGGAGCTGTTGTGACCTGGGGTCGTGCGGACTGCGGTGGAGACAGCAGCCAAGTGCGAGAGCAGCTGAGGAACGTCCAGGACATCCAAGCAACTGCAGGTGCTTTTGCTGCTATTCTTGAATCTGGAGCTGTTGTGACCTGGGGCTTTGCAGGCTCTGGCGGAGACAGCAGCGAGGTGCAAGAGCAGCTGCGGGAGGTTAAGCACATTCAATCAACTGGCAACTCTTTCGCTGCCATTCTTGAATCTGGGGCTGTTGTGACCTGGGGCAATCCATGCTTGGGCGGACACAGCAAGGAGGTGCAAGAGCAGCTGAGGGACGTCCTCCACATCCAAGCAACTGCCGGTGCTTTTGCTGCCGTTCTTGAATCTGGGGCTGTTGTCACTTGGGGTCATCCTGAATACGGCGGAGACAGCAGCAATGTGCAAGAGCTATTTGGCCTGTTGTAAAATGGATGGCATGATTCTGGGACAATCTGGGGCACCAAAAGTTGAATCAAGTATAATATAACACATACATGAATCAATTACACCAGCATAGACCCCAGATAGCGAAGCACGCCAAGCTGCATCCCTAGCACCCTGCCATCAATCGCAAAAGTGCGCCTGCACCAGCCCCCCCGGCCGTCAATCTCGCAAAAATGCGCCTGCACCATCACCAGCAGCCCAAACATCCCAAAACAGCACCTGCAACCAGCACCGAAACTGCATGCCCTAGCACCCTGCCGTCAATCCTTAGAAAAGTGCCCGTGCCATCAGCAGCTCAAACAGCACCCGAAAACGGACGCACCAGCACCCCAAACTGCATGCCCCTAGCACCCACGCGTCAACCTCGCAATCACGTTCCCTTCTTTTTAGAAGTTAGAACGCCTTTTGCTTTCAGCTACTTTGGGGCATAAACAAGTAAGTAAATAAACACGTAGCTACATAAAGAGAAAAACAAATAAATAAATATATATATATATATATATGTATAGATCACCAGGTGATCTTCACACGTGGATTCGGCGGCGATTGTGTTGAACTCCTGGGAGAAGCAAACCCAGCACTTTGGTCGGGTGGGGCACTGGTTGGGATTTTTTCCAACGGGTCCTCGAGTCAAACGGCCAGTTTTTTTTATTCGGGACCATGGCGATATCTGCCTTTTGCAAATCGCCCTTTTAAAGACAACTTTTGGACTTGTTGGAAACAAATGAATGTACCATGGTTTCTTGGACTTTTGGACTTTTGGACTTGTTGGGCTTTACCATTGTAGACCAAAAGATTCGAGCAGACCTGTGCCATGGAACCAATCCAGCAGCTTCCACATGGGAACCATTCCATCGGGCTCGTTCCATCGGGCGAAGAGAAAAGGGCGCCCTTTGAGTTGGGCTGCAGCCGGCCATGTTCAGCTCGTCAGAGAGCCCTTTACCCAATGAGTATGTATCTGTATATCTATATATATACACACATAAAAGTATACATATATATATACATATATACATATATATATATATATTGTACAGTATATGTATATGTATATCTATATATATATATATTCATTCCCGGTGCCCGGTCGCTTCGCGTGTCAAAAAGCATGCCACTTCTTGGCCCGGTTTTAGATTTGTTCGGTGCCTTCTTGGTGCCTTTGTCAGTACAGTATGTATCCCGGAATCTCCCCCACAATTGCCACAATTGCAACCCTGCGTCTCCACCAGCATTGAGCCAATGCTTCTTGTTGATTTCTTGTTGGCATTTTGGTAGTCTACCTTTTTTCCCATGTTGGCAGTCCAGTCTTCCCCAGGTGCTTTTTGCATTTGTTTGGTGGTTTGACATTTGCATAGGACATTCTCTGCACCCGAGGTGACATGGAGCAGGTTTTCTTGTCTAAGCCCCCTTCCCCGTTCGCCAACCGATTCCTTGCCCAGGAGCCAGCTGAGCAAAAACAAGCGCGCCATGTGCGCGCTGGTCGATGGGGGGGGCAGGGGGCTGCAGTGGCGTGAGTACATGGAGATGTATGAAAACCTAGGCAGCCGTTTTTCGGGAACCTTTTAATGCAAACCAACACGAAATCAAGGATTTGTGGAGGTGACAGACATATCCCGATGGCACCTTGTGTTCTCGTTTAGATCCTTTTGAGGCGAGCGGTCAGGTTGGGTGTCCATTGTTTGTGTCGTTTCTTCACACGTAGCCCCCACTTCAAGCGTCGTTTTGAGAGGATCAGATGTTGACTTTTTTTCTTGCCTTGGTCCTCCTCTTCAGGCTTCCAGTGTGGGGAGGTGCTAAGGCCTCAATGCAAGGCATCAATCAATCCGCAGAAATTCCTGGAATGCTCCTTCTTTTCTTGCAGGGACCAAGGCCTGGAACCCAACTTTGGGAATCAGCACATGTGCCCAGACTTCGCCCAAGATCCAGCGAGGATCGGGACCTGGACTTTATCGGGTGCAAAACCGGAGACTCCACTTGAGCGCAGCGATATGCATTGCACCTCTTGGAAACCGGACATTGGGTGGGTTCAAGATTGTTTGATTGAGAGAAACCGTTTCAGCAGTGGTTTGTTGGGCCATCACCATTGCTCACTCTCCCAAGAAAACCAAAGCTTCAACTCATCAATACCTTCTAATCCGCAGAAGACGGAGTGTTTTTATTTGGCCTTGAAGGCAACTTGTCCAAATCCTTTTGCCGGGGGCAGCTGAGCAATGCTCTTCATGTTTGCCCATGGGGTATTGATGGCTTGCCCTTGCCTTGGAGTGGAAGTGTTCGACCTCAAAATCAGTCTGTCACAATCGGCGGATGCATCAACACGTGATCCAGGTGTACGAAGGGGAAATCGACATCAAACCCAAAGGGAGCAGAGCTCATTGGGCCGCTGAGATGCTCAAGCAGCGCGTGACGCGCTTTCCCGCGCCCCGGTTTAGCAACCGCCTTCATGCGACCATCCTAGGCGCGGCCCACGCCTCGCTCGACGTCTATGACATGTCGAGAGTTCTTGTATTTGTGCGAGTGTCCCGTGTCTCTGTGCCTGGGCGTCTCTGTGTCCGTGCGTCTGCCAGTTTGCCTGTGTGTATTTGTATCTGTGTATGTCTCTCTCTCTTTCTCTCTCTCTCTCTATTTGTAATGTTGTGTCTGTCTGTCTCTCTGTCTGTCTCTGTGTCTCTTTGTCTCCAGGTGTTTGTGTCGTGTGAACCTCGATCGCCCATTCTTGTCGCACAGCCTCGCACTCGCGTTCCATGTGGGACAGGGGCTCGCGTGCAGTCCCTCCCCCGCAAAGCCTCCCGGCATTGAGACTGGATATGCCCAGAAAAGAGCTGAGAACAAAAGTAGCAAGGAACACCTCTTGGGGCGACGTGTGAACTGGATCGGATCCTGATCCTGACATCGGATTCAAAAGTGTTCACGCCAATCTGTGGTAGGCCATTTGGAAGAGTCCAAACTCCAGAAGACAGGTTCCCATTCTTCTACCGGCGTCCAAGAACTGCTGTTTCCTCGTGAGCTGGCCTTGCAGCGTGTTCGGTTCCCCCCCACCCATTGTGAGGAGGTATGTTCCATCTAGTTTGCCACCCCTGCTTGTTGATGACTTATGAGTTCTGACTCAGCCGGATCCATTGTTCGACTCCGGAGCTGAGGTATTACCTGCTATCAATCGAGGTCGTTCACCCCTTCGTGGCTTCCCGAATCACCAAGCAGAGACCAGCCGCCCGAGTGGTGGGTTTGGGTGTTCGTTGTCAATGAACCCGGCGGACCTCCCTCAAAAAGTATCCTTGGGGTTAAGGGGGTCCGTCAGGTTGAGAGCACATCATGGGGTGCGCGCTCTCCAGTCCGGTGGAGCTGGTTAGAGTGCAGAGGCTGGTTTCCCGGTTTCGTGCGAAGAGCCTGGGCAACAAGAACGATGATAACCTATGTGTGCGTGTTTTAGAGGGTACTGCGCCGTTTGGAGGTTGCTTCGGTTTTGGGTGGCGTAGAACCATTCATTCCCCTCCCTCATCCCCTGCTTCTGCATCCCTAGTTCTTTTTTGCCACTGTCGGCAGGGACAACCTACATTTCAGCCTTTAGTGCGCTTTAAAGATCACCTTCTGAATCAAGCCAAACCAAGCCGGGTTGGGGTGCCTGTTTTTGCAGTTCCCATCATTAGGACGGATCGACGGGTCATTGATCCAAAGGGTCATCAGTCTACTCCAGGGGTTGATGTCCAACATCTAACCAGAGCGGGGGGCCCCGCACCCACGCACAAGCCGAGACAAGCCAAGAAGCCGAGAGAAGCCGAGACCCAGCGAGGCAAGCCCAGAAGCCGAGGGTCTGAGATCCTTTTTTCAGCGCAGAAAGAAGCAGAGGCATATACTCGGCAGATCGAAGCCTGGCAGTCAATAGTTGGAAGATGTGGGAGCAAGCTGAACAGCTGAGCGGGGCAAACGAGAAAACCGAGAGACACAAGAAGAAGCCGAGAAGACGAAAGCCGATCAAAAACAACCGCGCATCTAGGAAAGCACTCCGAAAACCAAAGCGGCAAGTTCGATTCTAAAAAGGCAAGTTCGGCAACGGAAGGGCAAGCCAGGGTCGAAAATCAGACGTCCGGTCCACGAAATGAAAGACAAGTCCGGCTACGAGAGGGCAAGTCTACTTCCCCAAAAAAAGAGGTCTGCTAATGGAGTGGCAAGCCGGGGTCAAAAACGAGACGTTCGACCATAAGAGGGCAGTTGCAGTTCGCGAAAGAGAAGTCCGGTTTCGAAGGGCGCGTCTGATAGCGACAACGAAAGAGCAAGCCAGGGTCGTGCTTCGCGCGTTCCCGATTGGCGCCGCGCACGGGGTGGGTTGTTTCAAGAAGTGCACCGCGCATTCCCCAGAAGGTGGGGGTGGGATGGGGTGTGGTCGCGCTCTCCACGCAACTGAGGCAACCAAATACTTAATCTTGCGTGCTTTGCTGTGTGACCCTCTGCGTGTCAGTGTGTCAGCGTCTCAGCGTCGTTGGCAGGAACTCAGCGAGTCAGCGTCTCAGCATCTCCGGCGGGAACTCAGCGTCTCAGCGTCTCAGTGTCGGCGGCAGGGACTTGGCGTCTCAGCGTCTCAGCGTCGGCAGCTGCTGCTCGGCGTCTTGGCCTCTCAGCCTCTCAACGCAGAACATACGTCTTCTTGCCGGCGTAGTTGTCTCACCTCGCAGGCATCTCAGCATTTTCAGCATCTCAGAGTCTCCCCCTGCTCTGCATTTACCCATGTTTCTTTTCAACAACCAGCTGCTTCCCGCCAGGTTCTGGCAGTTTCTCTGAAAGCTGGAACATAGAGTCAGGCAACCCTTCGTTGGTGCTTTAGATTGGCGGTTTGGCTCTTCTTGTAGAAGGTAAGTGGGAAATCACCCCCCGAACCTCCAAACCGGAAAAATCCAAGCCAGAAGGATTCACCCCCCTAACCTCCAAACCGCCAATCCAAGCAGAAGGATGCGGAGAGAGGAACTTCCCCCCGGGCGCCACGGTCCAACTTCACCCCGAGACTCGCTCGCGCGCCTAGGCATGGCTCCGCCGGCTTCCGCTGCGCGGTGGCCGAGATGCAGGGCTGGCGCATCGGCCACGAGGACCCCAGGGACATCAACGGATGCCATCTTCCATGTGCTTAAGAATACGAACCGACATAAAAAGAATAAAAACGGAGACCAACAGGGGAAAACCATTTGCTTAAGAATATGTTTTTTATTTTCCCCTGTGGGTTTTAAAGGGAACCTCTCACTACTGGACCTCTTTGTGTTTTTTTTGCAGGGGGCTTAAGCAAATGGAAGCCATGGTTTTCCGAGGCCGGCCCTGGAAAAATCGATGCCTTAGAGCCTTAGCCGGTCAATTTGAAAGCCACCTTTGAAAAGAATGGCAGACATGTTTGGGCAAAAACTCCGTGCGACCTGAGGATGGGCTTTGGTTTCATAGGGGGTTACATATATATATATATATATATTTATGTGAAGTAGATAGACCGAGCAACGAGCAAGCGAGACAACGGGAGGTTTCCAGCCCAAACCGTCACGAGGTACGGCCGGGTCCCTAGCCGCAGATGCCATGGTCAGTACCCACAAGGTGTTTCCCCACATGGAATTGGAAAATGGCGGGAGCAGAACACTTCGATCCGCATGATCTGGCCCCTGCAACTTGTACCCGCTTGCAAGGCTTCCAGCGTTTGGGGTTGGCAAACTCAGCCAACGTCGGTCCTGTACACGTGTCAGTTTGCGAGTTCTGCAGGTGGAGCGGTGTCATGCTGCCATTTTCAAGATACGTGATTAATATTTTCTTTAGATACCATGTGAGAAAAATCCTTCAAGTCCGGGCGCCACCCTGGACGTCAGGACTGTCAGGTAAAACGTTTGAGGCTGCCCTTATTACAACTGCCCCTTTCTGAGGCCCTGTGGTCGGGGAAAAAAGGGCACCCGAAGGGGACAGCCGCCAATGTTGAGGCTTCCCGATTTTGAGACAAGACATGTTTCCTCTTTAAACATCACGCTTCAGGTTGCATGGTGTGCACCTCTTCTTTTTTGCGCCGGTCTCTTATTCTTCTCCTTGGGTTGGTTTCAAACATCACCTTGGGTCGGTTCAACGTGAGTGTCCGTTTGGTGGATCTGGGGGCACTTGGGATACTTAAAATCATTGTGTTTGTCCACCCATTTCCCGACTTTGAGACAAACCCGAGGGTCCCCGGCAGGACGCACACGCCGTGCACTGTGACGCCTCTGCCGCGGCGTGCTTCGTCTTCGACGGCCGGGGGGCCCAGTGTTGCGGAGTGTGAATGGTTGACATTTTGCTGGGATCTCTTTTGATTTGTTTTCACATTTTAAGTTCAGTTTCAAGGTTGGACTAGAGTCAACCAAATTCGATGTTTTTTTAGTGTTTGAGGCCGTTCATTCAATCTGACGTGTGGTTCTTCACTTTGAGAGATCGGCAAGGGCCGGACCCATTCAAACACAACGTGGGCGTGTTTTCTTGAAGGTCGATCGAAGGCAGACACATTCCACCCGTCGCCTGAGACTTGTTTCTGTGCGATCAATATGGATATGGGTCAAAATTAAACCAGCCGGAATTGGACCGCAGATTTTAGTCCATGTTTCCATTCACCAGGTTTTGGATACCTATTTTTGACCCAAGTTACCAGGGCAAACCATTTTGGATACCTATTTTTGACCCACACCCATATGACATTTGCCCAATTGGATGGAGAAGGTCCAGACATCGACGCCTTTTGTGCGGGCGCAGCTTTGAGCGGAAGGAGTCCAGCTCGTTGTGACACGAAGTCTGAGTGGAACCCGATAGGTGGGAGGTTCTCAAAGGGAGCCTTTCTTAAATAGTTTGAAAGGGAAACCAAAAGGAAACCAATGTAAGAGCAAAAGGCAAGGTATACCTGGCGGGGTTTCCCATCTTTGAGAAACACCCATATATTTTGAAACGTATACCTGGAGGGGTTCCCAATTTTGAGAAACACCCATGTACCTCCTGGCAAAATAATTACTAGAATTGTGATTGGATCCTCGCTGCCAGTGCTTGCCGGCGAAGGATTGCTCCAACCCACTTTCTTTTCCGAAAGAACGTTCGAGACCCTTTTCTTCGAAAGACCTGTACTTCTGGGCAACCGAATTTGGCCCCCATTTAAGTGCCACGATTTGCCAGGCCACGGGGGGGACGGAGCGGCACTCTACTGCGCGCCAGCGCTTTTGGAGGCTCGTTTGCGAGCGATGGCCTTTTGGGGGATCCCTCAGTGATGAATTTCAAGGAGCCACCTGGGAACAAATGTCGACCGTGACTGAATTCAACCTGGAGAAATTCCGTGCATCTGTGAATTCACGGGTGAAATATAGTATGTGCAAGTCTTTGGCCTGAATTCACGGGTGCAATATATCGTATTTTGTGCAAGTCCTTGGCTTTGGTAGTTATGGTTCGCTTGCTTTTTGGTTTGTTTGAGCGAAGATAGGCGGGCTCGACAATTTTCCTTGAGACACATCGGCGAGCTGGAGAGTGAGTTTTTAGGCGATCGCTTGCAGCCAACACTCACACGGGGTATGGGTCAAAAGCCCGGTTAGCCCCCAGTGAACATCCCAATCCCCACTAAGATAGGTTCTAAAATTTGACGTACTGTTCGAGCCAACTGGCATGACATCCTTGATTGGACCACGATTCACGAACGATGAATTTACCGTACTCCTTGCTTTGCAGTTCGGGGCAGCTTCCTCGCGGGTTTTTGTTGCCGGCTTCACCAAGTGGAACTTGGTGTTCAACTCATCAACTGCAGGTAAGTTGATGACAGACAAAGACCTTGCGGCACAGGGAAACATGCCACCCCTACAATGCAGACGGGAACCTGTGGAATTGTGGGCAAGACGCCACGCAGGCTCATGTTCGGCGTATGCTTGAATTTCAGACTTGTGTGAATGGGGCAACCACCTGGTGTGGCAGTGGGGGCTGCTGAACGCCATAAGAGGCTTGCGTCATCACTAAATTGGTTTCTCAGGTTTGAGTGAACTTGTAAAACCTCCAGCCAACCCCTCGAGGCATAAACCAAATTGATACAACCAAACCAAGCCAATACAACCAAACCAAACCAATCCGACCAAACCACATCAACAACCAAACCACATCAACACAACCAAACCACGTCAATACAACCAAACCAACTCAATGCAACCAAACCACATCAACACAACTCATGCAACCAAACCAATCCGACCGACCCCAAACGTGAAGCGCGCCAGTTTCGCTCGCCAGGAGATCCGCAAGGCGGACTTCGCGCCGCTTCCCCCCGATGAGCCCGGGGCTCGAAGTCGGGGGGTGGGGTGGCTAGACCCAGCTGACTGGGCTCAGGTTTCATCGGTTGATCAAACGTCCCAGTTCATTTTTTGATATTTTTTTCAATTCAATTCGTGGTATTACTACCAGAGATCCATTTGTTTTGGTATTTTTTTCAAATCAATTCGTGGCATTATTACCAGAGATCCATTTGGTTTGGTACTTTGCAAATCAATTCGTGGTATTATTACCAGAGATCCATTTGGTTTGGTACTTTGCAAAACAATTCGTGGTATTACTACCAGAGATCCATTTTTTTTCAAATCAATTCGTGGCATTATTACCAAAGATCAATTTGTTGTGGTATTTGTTCAATTCAATTCGTGGCATTATTACCAGAGATCCATTTGGTTTGGTACTTTGCAAATCAATTCGTGGTATTATTACCAGAGATCAATTTGGTTTGGTACTTTGCAAATCAATTCTTGGTATTATTACATTTTTTTTGGTATTTTTTCAATTCAATTCGTGGTATTACTACCAGAGATCCATTTGTTTTGGATTCTTTTTTCAAATCAATTCGTGGTATTTTTACCAGAGGTCCATTTTTTTTTGTCAATTCAATTCGTGGTATTATTACCAGATATCCATTTGTTTTGGTATTGTTTTCAATTCAATTCGTGATATTATTACCAGAGGTCCATTTTTTGTATTTTTTCAACTCAATTCGTGGTATTATTACCAGAGGTCCATTTTTTTTGGTATTTTTTTCAATTCAATTCGTGGTATTATTACCAGAGATCCATTTGTTTTGGTATTGTTTTCAATTCAATTCGTGATATTATTGCCAGAGGTCCATTTGGTTTGGTACTTTGCAAAACAATTCGTGGTATTATTACCAGAGGTCCATTTGTTTTGGTATTTATTTTGTTAAATCAATTCGTTGTGTTATTACCAGAGATCAGCGCCGACGTCGCTTTGTGTCAATGTGAAGTGGTGCTCGTTGTTTTCTTCTTCCCCTTTTTTGTGAAGGAGTCTCTCTGAAACGGGATTTTGAAGAAGGGGGTCAAAGGTTCACTGGGCAACTGAGAAGTCAGCTTTTGGGCCGTTTTTCTTTTTACCAGCCAGAGAGACTGCGGAACTCCAGGATAAATTATAGGTCCAAAGCAGGACCCGGTGTTCCCACAAAAGAGGGGATCATCCAAGCGGGACCCGCAATCCCAGTACAAAATTTTACATCCTGAGGTATGTCTTGGGCCAAACAGCAAGTGCTGGGCCACAGGGACAGGGGAATGAGGGGCTTCGGCTTGGCCGAACGCCGCCTTGCCTCATTTGCTTTTGGGGGGAAAGAAACATGAGACTGGCAAAAAGGTGGGGGTGAATTGTGGCACGGGATGGTTTCATTCCGGAAAGGAACCAGGCACTTGTCCCAATGCTTGGACTCGCAGAGTTCAGGCGACTTCCTGAAACCCATCAGTCGTTTCCCTCAAACTTGTGTAGGCTTGGAGAATCTTGGGGAAGGGGAAATTCTGCGGCTAGGGTGCTCCCCGTCCTTCATGCAGCGAAGGGGTTGCCTTAGAAGGATGTGGCAAGGGGGCACGAAGAGCGCCCGTTTAGAATGTTAGAGCCAATGAGAAAAGATGTACAGTGCAACACTTTGGGCCCGTCTTGTTTGCACCAAGGGAACTGTTTTGCAAGCTCACCTTGGCGGCCAATCAACAGTTTGATCGCAAGCGCTCGCCGGTGACTTGCTGGCCTAGAATTGTGTCCCAGATGTTTGGAGAAGCAACATCAAGTTTCTTGATTTGCCACGTTGCTGCTGTAGATTGGCTGATGTAGCATAAGTTTGCTTGTTTGCATGGTGAAGGCTGAATTGTGCTTGCTGGGGCAGCATCCCATACCATATGCGAGCTCGGTTGTGGCTTAGGGATGACGCAGTTTCCGCATGAGCGAAGGAGCAGTTTCATGGGATCCCGAAGCAACCAGGCTCAACTAATCTGCTGTTCTGGGAGGGCCGAGAAGTTGGGAATTACTCACTTGTGCTAGATCAAGTCTGTATGGATTGTTCGCAAGGCAATGTTTCACGCCCAAGGGACACCTACCATTTCCCCGGCCCCGCGGCCCCGCCGTTTGACCATAGTGGTTGATTTTGGGTCCACCAGAGTCCAGCAGAGCTTGGCATTTGTACATGAAGTCACAGAATTTGTTGGTTGTCACCATCTTCAGGCCATGTTCAAAACGAGCCCGACATCGCACGCCCATGGTTGAGTTTCAGGTCCCGCAAGAGAGTTGTTCACGCTGCTTGCACCCACAGTATTGAATGACAGATTCAATGTTTATATGGGTCCAAGAGGGCTAGGTCACGTGCCATCACGTGCCCTTTATGTCGCATGATGTTTACCGTCATTCATGTGTCTTTGCCCCGAAGCCAACTAGAGGGGTGCTCTAGCGGATGGGAGTTGGATAACTGGTCGCAGGAGTCACCGCGTATCTGAGAGGATCAATCAATGCTTCTGCCCATGCTGCACGAGTTGCTATCCTAACATCAAAAATACAGATTGGGCACACGGTTTTCAGTTTTTACCTGGTTTCGGGGAGAAACTGAGGTAAATAATATGTTAGAGCAACCTTTTTTTGGGGGACAGGTTTCAAAGGGGCTCATTATGATTCTAGCCATCTCCTAGTCTTGACACCCATGCATAGACAGATGACACTGGCATGAACAGTGGGACTTTTACTATGCTCAAGCACAGCTGATTGTAGTGACTCGCCTTGCAGATAACTTCTTATTTGGCGAAGGGCCCTTCCAAAAGGTGAGTATGAGTCAACTCTTTTTGAAAAAACAAGCCCCAGAAAGGGTGCCGAGCCTTACAACCGAGAACCAACCCCCGTGTCTCCCCGGATCTCCGCTGCGATTCGCTTCGCGCTTCGCGCTTCGCAGGCGCTTGGAGCAGGCCTTCACTTCGGTGGACGAGAAGCTGCTCGGCTTCTTCCAGGAGAATCCGGAGAAGGCGCGAGCCAAGCGCGCGGGGTTCAGGGGCGGTTCAGGGAAGGGGGGAAGGGCGGGCGGGGGGGAAGGGAGGGGAGGCTGGTTTCTTTTCAAGGCTGGAATGTTGATGTGGATACTACGTGGATTGTTTAAATAGGAGACTTTCCTGAACCTGTTGCGGCCCAGGGTCCAGCTCGTTTTGGCACCCATCTGTTCGAGGCGCTTTGGCCATGGCTCACCCGGATGGCGCGAATTACGAACGCTGGAGAATCGGATTCATGGCGAAAGGACATGTGGGACTTCCCCCGAACATGAGCTAGGTCCCCAAGTAGTGCCCCTTTCACCGTTTCTTTTTTGATTGGGAGATTCGGTTCCCCTACTAAAATGGACGAAACAGCAAAAGTTGGTGGCTTATTCTACCCTCTCTGGAGGACCTAGGGGCCCCTTGCAGGTTTGGTTTCCTTTGAAGCAGCTTCTCCGAGCCATGTGACTTGGAGAGCTTCTCAAGTGGCACGTTGGCACGTTGCTTTCGGGTCACCTGCGCAGGTTTTGGTCCCAGTCCAGAGCAAATCTCTGGAGCCCCCCGCGAAACCCGGACACAACCATGGCCAAGGTTGGTCAAGTTACAATCATGTCCACCAGTTTTCGCCACCAGTTTTCGCTGGCAGCCAAATTTGGGTGGCGAAAAGCAAGGAGTTGGGGTTTTATCCGCAGGTAGTCTTTGGTAAAGGCAAATGGCCATGGGTCATAATGCCTCCATTTTCGGGCAGAACACCCATGTACCACCGATTTTGATGTTCACCAGGGGGTTTCCTGGGTTTTGACCACCACAGCCTGGCACTAGGACTCTGGCACCACAGTGGTGGGTGCCCTTTGCGCCAAGAACGCGGACAGCTCATACACGGCGGCATGGACCGCATGGATGGCTTGGGCCGGGTGGGACAAAGCATTTGAAGGGGGTACAGGGGCCCATGGCGAATGA